GAGAAGGTCTTAGTCCATTTTTGGGTTTTTACAGATTACCCAACAAGAGAGATTGTCAACAACGGGACTCGAATTTAAGTCTTGATAGTGAAGATAACGATTCTTACCAACTCAACCAACCCTCGTTGGCTATGCCTGCTATTTCTTTTGCCAATTCATATACAAGCCAAAACAATTTATGAAAAGAGGTCCAAGTATATTAATATTGTTCATAGGAACATATACATATACGCCATGCCCAAGACTTTTAGCTGGTATACTTCCATAGTCGAATCCCTCAAGTCCTCATCATCTCCTACTCGAACCTCATCTGCATCTCTCGTATACGCTTATGATGAAGCTCTTCATGGCTTCAGCGCTCACCTCTCCTTAGAAGAACTAGAATCTGGAAAGACAACAAAAGGGTTGCTATCAGCATATCCATGACAAACCTGCTTGATCAAACAACTCGCACTTCCGAGTTCCTCTCCCTCAGTCATATGTGCTTCCACATTATTCAATAAGAATTGTCTACGTGTTAGGTTCAAAAAATACCATATGCGAAGGAAGCTTGTTCAGAATATCTCACTTCAAAGAATGAAAACTTTGCATGAGTATTTAAAAGATCTTCAACCTCTCTATTTATTATAAATATATTCAAATTAGTTGCATATATATGTATACATCTATACAACTAACAATTAAGAAATGTTTCTCGTCCACCAGACTGTTCATAATATGAGCCAGGTGATGTGATTGGCCAAACTGAATCACTCATGCGGTGCGGTGGGATCATATACAAACATTGAATTCTGGCCCGAGTTGTGAAATAAATTCTTTTACTGCGAGGAAAGTAACTGTGAGTCTACTGGCCCAAAAGAAAAAAAAAAGAAGTAACTGTGGAGTCTGTGAAGATGGCGTCACACTTTAGGGTCCAAATAAAGAGGGGACAGTGATAGGCCTTGATGAAGCCACGTGAGTTGCATTACAGAGATCAGTCTGGGATCATGCTATTGACCGACATGAATGACAGGACAGCACGTGCGATGGAAACAACAGGAAAAAATAAATGAAAGACGAGTGACTGAGATGGAAGCAGTGAACTGAATTATGTGGAATTCTCTCGTACCTGTTTTATTTTTGGTAAATATTTTTTTTGTCCTCGGAACGTGAAAAGTTGCTCTACAATGAATATGTGACTGCTACTGTGGTGGTTTGTTTGTGCCTACAAGGGGAAGAATTTAAGTTTCTTTTTTTTTTTTGGTCTGAGGGAAGAGTTTTAGGTTACTAATGGCTGGCGTTTTGAGGAACAAGGCTAGCCTCAGTTTGATCGAATACTAACTTCTTTCTTGGTAAGTAATAAGAGAAAAATATGGCCAATGGGTCTAGTTTAGTAGAAAAGAGTATTGATTTGCATATTAGAGATTTAGGTTCGAATTCTCTTTGCATCTTAGTAGTGTGGGTGAGAAACCCTCCCGTGTAGTTTAAAGTATCGCTGGTACTAAAAAAAAAGTACATATGTAGTAAAATAATTAATTTAGTATTAAATTGTTACACTTGGTTCGGTTCAATTCAATTTACCTATGGTTAAGCATTATCCAATCCAATCAAACTTTATGAGAGTATCGGTTTGGATCAAATTGGTACGAAGTACTGAGAATAAAATTGAACTTTTTAAAAGCAGAATATGTATCATAACCGGTTTCATGAAAGAAACTGGAACTACAAGAGTTTGGGTACCTGAAATTATTCCCAGTTGAACCACCAGGCGACAACGAAAAGATTGACATATGGGATTCCAAAATTATTGATAGCTAGAGGCTATATACATTATTATATAGCATTACTTTTGTAGATAACTCTTAAGCTAACACATTCAGGCACACACATTTTGCACATGCGCAGTGATTGCTGGGCACTACACGTACCAAATTAACCAAATGCACGATCCTTTTCAAACAATCTTAAGATTAACCTTCAATCAAAGATGTGACTATATCAAATACGTGCAGTGATTAATTATTCATTCACCCAAGAGAAGAAAAAAAAAAAAAATTCAGGCAAACTATAAGAGAGAAAATTTCAAAGAGATCAGAGAAAACACCTTGTACACCAAAAGAACATGTCGAATTTGAATCAAATTTGCGAGCAATCACTTACAAAAGTTATTTCTTCTTCTTAATTAATCAACCTTCAGATGGGATGATAAGTGTTAAAGTATGTAATGGAAAATGATAATTTTCATATATTTCATTGTGGTGCAAAGCATCAAATACACACACAACATTCACTAAAAAAGGGAAACAAACATGCAGGGGGCTTGTAGTTCAAGTGGTTAAGAGCATGTACACTTGTACCTGAGGTCCTAAGTTCGATATTCTTCACTCCCCCAACATCGCTTGTATTCAAAAAAAGAAAAAAAAAGGAAACAAACACCAAATCAAAGGAGAAAATCATGGCATGATGGAGGTTGATGAATGAAGGTTGATGGAGTAGACCACACTGATAGAGTAAAATGAGGCATGATTTGGGGGCAATTAACACCAAGTTACAAACTATCTAGCTAGTCAATTAGCAGACTAGGAAAAATGATAGGAACAGACTATATATAAGTTACCAAAACTTACATGACATTACATAAACTTCGCATGAACACAACAAAATCTTCCATGTATGCATTCCTATATATGTATAAGTTACCAAAGCTTGGTATGTACATTGGCTAGTTTTGCTCTAAACCCAGCAAGAAGGCCAATGATATATGGCTGTGTTTGGTTTGACAAAATGACAGAAAAGGTGGGGTTTTGATCACCAGATACTTAGGCATGTACATTGGCTATTTCTGGCTTAGTACTTACAAGATATAAAGCGGGAAACCGTGTTACCAAATAAGACAATGATATCTGAGCTGAAAGTAAAAGAAGAAAAGAAGTTTTGTTAGCTTAGCTTGTAATCTAATCCCTAATCATCGATGATCTGTGATTCAAACATGGAGACCAATTAGGAATCAAACTTTCAACCAAAGTTGCTTCTTGTTTTGGTCATACAAATAAGCAAACAAAGCATGGGATCTTGATTTTTCACGTCTTGATGATCCAGAAAGATCACCATTTAAATTTGTTTCGCATGTTTAAATAAAGAACCTTAGCTCATAAAACAAGTTCAAATTAATCTGAACCAAACAACATGTTATGATTAAAAACATAAGCTTCTTTACACTCTACCGCGCACTATTAGGATTGCAAATAACATTTACTCAGAAGGTACATCGAAATATTCTTATGATGCGGACAATCTACGATACTATGTTATGTTATTAAACTATTAACTGTCACTCCGGATCATTAACAATGCGATACTATGCTTGTCTCAATATAATACAAAATGCTCAATTATCAGATAAGAAAACATTATTAATATGACATGCTATACAAATATAGGCAATAATATTTGTTCACATCCACAGTTCCATCAATCTGACGAGTATGGCGCCAATATATGACATGAGTACCTACTAGACCAATTAATTAATTAATAATCACTTCTCTACATCCAAGCAAAGGCTAATTTAATTTAATTTGATTCATATTCATATGCTCATTATACATACAAAAAATGAAAAACAGCACAAAAAAGAAAGGTCCAGTATAAAAAAGGGACCCATACCAAACCTTAAATATATATTATGACGTATCATGATAATCAAGTCAAATAAATAATGCCCTCTTGTACTATATGAAATAAAATATAGCAAAGACTCTAAGTACTTATGTGTGAATTGGACTTAAATCCGATCCTTGTCTTACAGAATTTACAAATTGAAAGCTTAATATGTATCCTTCAGTTTTGGTATATATGAAGCTCCAAGGCTCCCGAATGTCGCAAACTTATATCCTATTGGTAAACAACATATCCATATCATGTTCTGAATGCATATGAAATGTCAGCATTTTTGCTAGTCTAGTCCTCTCTATCAAACAAGTTCTTAGAGTTTTACAATTAAACTCTAGTATGGTTATCATGTAGCTTTGAATTTAAACATTAAATCTTATACCGTAGCGGTGGAGAACCCCTAAATTCATAATGCATAACTTAGATTAAAAATCAAACAATGCCAAGATAAGGAAAGATTTCGTTTTCCTTCATTTTTAATGTTTGTTTTACAAACAAGTGCACAAATGCAAGTATATAAATGGTTTTAACACAAGCCTTGATAACATTATAGTGTGCACAAATGCAAGTACTTTGTTTCATTTGTTTGCTTCTTCTATGTGATTCCATTGTTTTCTAGCTTATTGTTTATGACTTGAACATATATATCATTATTTTATCATTAGGGTTCATGTAATACTTCACCTATTTAATGTATTTCTCCCTCTTTTGGAAACATTAAGATTGGAGAAATGGGTTGTGGATTTGCACAATAAATGAAGCGCAGCTCATATAATCGGCAAGGACCCATCTCCCACATGCATATACTGAATAAGTTTGACTCATGAATTTATTTGCAGAATTTCCATATGTACTTTCTACCATTAGTGATTGAAAAAGGTTTTTGTGCTGCTCTTCGTCACTGCACTTCGACAGTGAGGAAAAGCTAGAAATATAATGGGGAAAACGAAAGGGGAAGAGAAAAATGACCTCTATTGACCTCTATTTATACCAAAAATAAACAAGTCTAAGACTGTATACATAGTGCTAGACAAATCTGACACAGGATCGATCTCTGAAAAGCTATATCCACCTAATACCCATTAAAAAACTAGAATAAATAACAAAAAAATGATCATTTTCATAAAGAGACATAGAACATGATCTGCAAAATCTATTACTAGTCACAAATTGACCTTTTATAGTACATAAATCTATGACATATATCTTATGATAAGTCTACACAGATCCTCAACTACAACTAGTACATATGCATTACTCCCACTACTGTTTGCTAATTTACCAGTGGAATCACAGAATAGTGCACGCAATACTTCAATATATGACAATCTAATTAAGCATGTTTCTGATTAAAAAAAAGGGAAATACAAAGGAGGATGATAATGAAGGCTCAACAACTCTACTCAGAAAGCTTCATGCACTCCTCTCGAATCCTCTCTGGTGGGGGAGTGCAAATAATAACACTGTCACGACAATGTTATTTACACTCCTGTTGAGAGGAATTGTAATGTTGTCTCAATAGGAGTGCAAATGACAGCGTTGTTATGACGGTGATATTTGCACTCTTGATGAGAGGAATGCAAGAATCGCTTTGTGGAGTGTGAATATAAGGCTACCCTAAATACCCAATAACATAGCTAAGGCAAAGAAGAGGAGGTAATAAAGACAATTATGTTTATGCTAGAGATGAAATAATGAAGATTCTGATGATCCCAAAAGACCAAACAGCTTCTTACTGATTTAGCTTGCACCAGGAGGAGCTGGAGGAGGAGTTGGAGGCAATATTGCTTGAACTGGAAGAGCACTAGTAGAACTACTACTCTGTGGTGGGCGCTTCCTCTTCTTCTTCTCGTAGCTAATTCCTCTGGCTTTGGCCTGAGAATCGCGAACCTCACGCAGATAAAGCCTCACAGCACGAGCCCCAAAAGGGTTGGCCTCAGGCTTCCCACCGTGCTCTTCAAAGGCTGCTCGGAGGCGGCCGATGAGGGCATCTAGGCTTCCCCAAGCTTGGCGCAGAGGGCAAGGGCACGGTGCAGGAGGGTTTGGATGCCCAAAGAAGGGACACAGCTGAGTGTGCACTTTGGTCTTCCCAAACTGGTCTAGGTACCTGAGGAACTCAAGCACGTGGGCCCCGCTGCACCGTGCAAGGGACAGCGGTGGCCTGTGGTTGCGGAGGTACTGCCCGAAGGTGTTCCAGTCTCGCCGCTTTTGGTTCTCGTAGCGGCTGAGAGTGGAGGATGTGGCTGATGAGGGTGAGGCCGCAGGTACTGTATTGGAGCTGCTGGTGGTGGTGGTGGTGGTGGTGTTGATGTTGATGCTTGAACTGTTTGATGCGTTGGAAGGGTTGAATTCTTGAAGCGAATCCATGGATTTCATAAGAAATTATGAACCTGTACAGTGGTAGTGGAAATGCCCCAATTGAGCTGGGTTTTCAATTATGGTGAAGATGGGAGATTATATATATATATATATATAGAGAGAGAGAGAGAGAGAGAGAGAGAGAGAGAGAGAGAGAGAGAGAGAAAGAGAGAGAGAGGTGGAAAAGAAGAGTAGGGCTGAGCTAGCTTGATTAATATAATATAATATATTTCTTTTTTCTTTAGCTAGTCTATGTTCCGAGGTTTCTTTGAATCTTTGTTTGATCAATCCTAGAAACCACTTTGAAAGGCTTATGATGTGTTTGGGGTGGATTTTGTTCTTACTTTGTTTTATGGGAACATTTCGAGAGATTGCCAGATATATATTTTTACCGAAAAAAGGGGGAGCAACTCAGTTCCTTCCAGTCCAACAAACTCAGAGAGGAAGAAAGAGAGTGCTAATGGAAAATGAGCAAGTGGAAAGGAGTCTCAAGTGACTTCTGTGGAAATGGAAAGAGGTTGACAGTGAGAGAGAGAGAGAGAGAGAGAGAGAGAGAGAGAGAGAGAGAGAAGATAAAGGTGAAAATATGAGGGAATAACATGATTTTGTTTCTTCACCCTTTTGTATTGATTGACAACACCTTTTTTTCAATGACTACTCTGCCCTCCATTCATTTACATTCGGGAACAGCTTGCATATAGTTTTTCACACCGTAAGAATGGGTCTATCGACCTTAAGCATGATTTCACATAATGTACAAGATTATTTGAAAAAAGAAAGAGGGATGACATCTACATTCTCTTTTGTACTTTTCTTATATGTTTTTTTATTTTAATTTTCATATAGCCTAATTTTGCAATGTGGTGTTTAGAACCACCTATTTCTAGATCTTCCTTTAAAATTCATTTTTGCAAAAGATATCAACTAAATTGAAAATCGTTTAGTCATCTAATCAACTGTTTTTAAATGAATAAGCAGCATTTCGATAATGAAATGATTATGATAGTAATCAAATGACCAAACAATTTTCACCATTGTTGATTTTTAGCATGAACGATCCTTGAAGGGTGGCCTCGAAGCGTCGGTTCGATCATAAGTTCACATTGTGGGATGAGGATGAGAAAACAAAAGTAGGATACGAAGGTAGCATTCTTAAAACAATGTATGACATGTAAGTATCCATAGGTCTGTAAAGCCATCCCATATATTGAGGGTGGCATTTGTACTACCGTGTAAATATTTGAGGGTTGTTATGGATATTCGAGAAAGCCATGCGACCCAATCCCAGCGGCGGTATTATTGTTAGGTGGAGGATCCGCATGAAATCCAACCATTTCGGAGGCCATGGAGTAACTTAGTGCAACATGGCAAATTTCATTGAGAGGAATCAGCAAAGAAAAGAAAAACGGGTCAACATCTTATTAAGATTTGATCCTTGCATTACTTGGCTGAGATTGTAGAGCGACCACCATGAAGGTTTACTTTTCAATCATAGTTGGGAAAAGCTGTAAGAAACAGTTTTCTGTTTAATATTCAAAGAGATGATTTGAAACCCTCCACTAAATGAGGTGGTTGAGGGTATTCATATGTATTGAATCTATTGATTTGATTAACTCAAGATTTAATCCATATAGTATGGATCTGTGCGCATCTTGTATTCTTGTACAGGGATGGATGGAGCCCATTTTTTGGTTAGGTTTGTCTCAAAATGCATACCAAACCAATGTACTTTCATAGTTCAAATTGGTTCAGTTTAGTCCTCAAACTAGTATAACTGAGCCAAATTGATCTATTTAGTGACTGATTTAGTTCAGTTATTTCCCTCCATAAGCAATTAAGTAAATGACGCAGCGAGATGAGATAGGGATATCAAATGATAACCCTAAAGTAACAATTTCAAAATCCACCAAAAAATTGAGTAAAACTCAAAGGTATTTGATTGATAATAAACTGAATTAATCGACAGAATTCATAATTGCTTCAAACTTCCTCAATCAATTAGAAAATCCCAACGATACGCCTTCCTTCGTTTCCTAGCGCCATAATTGATGCTCAAGCATGATTTTCTATATTTGAACCCCAATTTTCTGATTTTGAATTTTGTTCCTTTTCTAAATTTCCTTCATAGGAATAAGCTTATAATTTGTCCTACATCAGGCCCCTTCACTTGTTAAGAACTAGACCTTGAGTTCTCTTTAAAACGAACCTGAGTAGAGCTTGATGTGTATACAAGCTCTTCAATTTATGGCATCTGAACTTGCTCATACTTGGATGGAATAATCATATAATTAATTTTATAAACAAGATTAGAATATGTCAGTTGAGAATCAAACTCCGTGTATGAATTATTTTCCTCTCCAACTTCAGATTTATCCATACCTTTAATTTCTGAGGAATCCAATTGTTGTTCTTCATTTTTTGGGAAATCTTCTTCAACAACAATAGGAGTTTCAATCGGCACAATCTCTTGTTTTTCTTTAATCCCTTCCTCCTCTTGTGGGTTACTATATCATCTATTAATTCAACATCCATCATAGTTTCTTCTTGTTTGACATCTTTCTCCTTCTTTTCTTGACTCACCATGATATTGAGTTGAGCAATCTTGTAACCATTCCTTAACAATTATATATCATATTCAAAAGGAAAGAATTTTTTTCACAAGAAGTCTCTTCATCCAACGCCAAAAACTGATAGGATTTTCACCTTGTTGCTTCATAGATTTTTGCATCTTATCCCACCAAGAAGCGACATTGTCTTCTACACTAGACGCAAAAATTTTCATCATATTCTCTTCTCATATCGCTTTTGAATCAAATATTTCCGCTATATCTGCAACTTGCAGGAGAAAGCCTTCTATGCAATCACTCTCATGAAGTATGGAACAACTACAACATCTAACTCTCTAAGAGTGGTTGGTTCCCCGTCTCCACGGGTCATATCTTCTTCTTCTGGACGAGCCATTGGAGGCACTTCGAGTTAGGCAAGGCCTGCTTTGATACCAACTGACGCATCGAGATATAAGAGGATAGGGAGATCGAACAATAACCTTAAAGTAACAATGTAGGAATCCAACAACAAATTGGAATCCACAAGAAAATTGAGTAAAACTCAAAGGTATTTGATTGATAATAAACTGAATTAACCGACAATACAATACCATGAGTTGACTTAAATAGAAAACAAAGAAACCCTAAAATCGTTGGAAACCCTAAGTTCTAGAATATTCCTAAAACTTAGCTAACAAGAAAACAATAAAAATCCTAATTAAAATCATATCAGGAAAATAATATCTTGATTGATAACTTATTCTAAAAATAAAAATAAAACATTAAAGTAAATATAAATCTTGACAGAATCTATAATTGCTTCAAAGTTCCTCAATTGATCAGAAAATCCCAACGATACGCTTTCCTTGTTTTCCTAACGCCATAATTGATGCACAAACATGATTTTCCGTATTTGAACCCCAATGTTCTGATTTTGAATTTTGTTCCTTTTCTAAATTTCCCTTGTAGAAACAAGCCTATAATTTGTTATACATCAGTAAATATTATATATATTCTCTTGCATATATCAGAAACTTCATACCATAAATTGAACGATAATTAAGAAAACTTTTACCATTAGTTTGATAACTTGTGAGAGAGGATGTCAAATGCAATGGTTTAGAGATTTTAATTTGTGGTATTAAATGTTCGATATTGATGTGTGGGAACAACATAATGATACGGTTTGATTCGGTTTAGTAAGTTTCCAAATGGACCAAACTGAAATAAAATTCATGTGATTTAGTTGGATCCGGCCAAATCAACAAACTGCTTGGATTGGTTTTGGCCGGGTGGAACTGTTCAGGTAGTTTTTGCCCACCAAATGTAACCTTGGAAATTTTACAAGTTTACTAAAATTTCAGACTTCAGGTTTCATGGTTTGTATGCTGCTTGCTCCCAGTTTTCAACATTCAATGATTGAATTATTTACCTTATTGTATATAACACGACTTCTTTATTTGGATTGTCAAGCACTCAAGAATGAAGATTGGAAATTTCTAAGATGATGCCATATTTTATATGCTTTTCCTCGTCTGCGATCTATCATAAGTCAAGAATCAAATATGCTGATCTATCTTTCATGTCAAGATCCATTGATATGAACGAAAGTAAATTCCAATGTGGGATTCAGACAATCATGTATAGTCAAGACGTACAAGTTGTTTTCATATGAAAAAGAGTGATTGGATTCAACTAAGGAAAGGAAGGTGATAATCAACCTTCCCCAACCCAAAAAAGGGAAATGAATGGGATAATTTTTGCTGTTAAATTAATAACATTTATCAACCTTTGTGCATGTATGATGACTTAGCCTACGAATAAAGCCAAAGAAACAGTGTAATGACTTTATTCAAAGATGCACTCATGGGTCTTGAATAAGTGTGATGATAGAATTGACTCCCCACTATTATTATTGTTTTTATATATCTTTCCTTTTAAATGTTCTCCTTGTTTTTTTTATTTCTCAACTTCTGTTTTTTATTTTTTTCAAGCTATATATGATGAAGTTCAAGTAAGGCTTGGATATATAGGTCGAACCATTGCAATTGTAATTGTTTCATAGCCACATATCAAATCGTGACACAATTACACCTCAAATTTTACATTTTTACTTATTTAAATTGTTTAAGATCTCGTTCATTACTTAGAGTTTTTTTTGTTGTTGAGAAATTCTAGGATTGCATTAATAATTCAACCATAAAAGCCACTATACAATAACGGAGCGGTTTAACATCAAAATTAAGACAATCTGGTGTGCTTACACTAATGATCACGTAGGATCGAAGAAACTCTGGCATAGGCATCCCAACTAAGATTGCAAACTTAGAATAATAAAAAAAAGATAAAGCTGGAAAAAACCAAGGCTTAACAATAGAAATAAAACTCTCACAAATGAGGGATAAAAAACTCTCACAAAGGAGAGATGAAAGCTCTCACAAAAGGAGAGGTGAAAACTACACAAAGAACCCAAAGAGTTTCTGTGACTTATTCTGAACATAAAGAAACCGCAAAAAGGATAGTAGTGGAGATTAGACGCCGAAAAGCATGTGGAGATCTGACTTCAAGATGCAGCCGCTTGTGATGGTTAGAGGAAAATCATAACAAAACAAAGACAAATAGGGAAAACATTTTGTCTCTGAAAATTAAGGAAGAAGAGAATAGGGGGAGAGGGGAGAGGGGAGTGGGGAGGAAGAACAGTGGCTTCTTCCCTTCTCAAAATGAAAACGGCTCTAGGA